TCAAAATAACAAATTCAAAAGCAGAATGTGTAGCTTAGAAAAAATGAAACATAATACTGTATCAACCATCATTAATCTTCGTGAGTTTGAACCCTGATTTTCACAAAGCCAACCTAGATCATTGCCTAGCAACTGTCTAGAAGTACAGAAACCCAGAGCTACAGAGAAGTGTTTAAATTGTGCCAAGCACAATTTAAATTATGTAAAACTAGTATATGTCCTTTCTCCTGGTCAGGCAATAGATGACATTGACATTTTATTTAGTGCTTAGCATACCATTATGCATTTGCCAATTAAAAAAAAAGCCCTATTAGTTTCTATGGCTGTTCTCTCAAGCTAAGATTTCAAGGGAACTATTTTTCTACAAGTTATAGACATCAAATACATTATCCAGGTTTTAAAAATATATAAAGCAGTCAAGTCTGAAAAATTAGCCAGTATAAAAATCATTAGTTAAAAAAAGGGGGGGGCAGTATTTTACAAGATGATGATGCTGCTTAAAATATCTGGAAGGCTCTGGGGAGGAACTGGTTAACTACAATAGGGTGGGAGGAGGTCTGTGCATTGTATATTTTTTGTACGTTTTGAATTTTACACCATGTGAATGAAAGTCTTATCAATTATTCTCTCTCTCTCCCCCTCTGTCTGTCTCTCTCTCACACACACACACATATGCACAGATATCAAATAGATGAGGAAAGCATTAACACTAGCTTAGTTATCTAAGGATTTCTCAACTATAAGAAGCAAAATAAAGAATCCAAATTTAATTATACTACAGCAAATATCACAGGGGGGTTAAAGCATTCAGTGGATTGATCAGAATTAGGAAAATACAAATGATTAATACCCAAATATAAACATTTTGATGAAAATAAAGGAAGGGTGGGGAGCAGAGAGGAAGGCAAGAAATAATTGACAGAAAACAGCATGAACTTACTAGTCGAGTTGCCTTGCATCTGGATAATGCATTTAGACTCTTTGCTGGTTTCTCGAGAGTTGAAGGGACGCACCCGAACAGCCACCTTCACCGAGGCTCCCGACATTCTGATGACCTTGGTGTATATATGCAGTCCAGAAGTAAAGAAGCAAATTCTCTTTTGAAGTTATGTCCACGTTTCCTTTATAAAGGAAAAAAAATCCATGCTAGTCAGAATTTTATGTTTCGATTTCCAAAAATCTCATCCCTCTTTTTTTTAACCCCCAACAGTTTTATTGGCACATAATTCACATATCATGTGAATTGAATTGAACAGTTCAATAATGCAATCACATCAAAAGGAGTTGTACAATTACCACCACATCTATCCAACAGCCTTTCTCCCCCCCACCCCCACCCCCAGTCCCACCACGGTCACATTGCCTTCCAACTGAGCTGTGCAATCACCATCAGTTCTCGTGCTCCATCCCCACTCCCACCCTCACTGCTCGCTCCCCAAATCCTCTTCCCTCCCCGTCACCAACCTCCACTCCTACATTCCCTACAACGCCTTGTATCAGTTACTATCATCATACATCCATACCTCCTGTGCGTCACAGTTGGGAAACCCAACAGAAAACTATGCAAGACAAATCGCACTAAGATGTTATGGATAAGATCACATTAGTATAAAGGCAAAAATACAAAGGATGCGTAAGAGGGAGAAGACCCCCATCAACATTCAAAAAGCCAGGGAAGAAATTTCTGTCATGAGACATCTAAGAGAGCCTTACACCCAGTACTAACTCAGATGGAGTCTATATGGAGGACAACTGGCCTGTACCGAGTTTAATCCTGCATAATCAGGATTACAATGATTTCTGCCCGGGAGTAAGGTTGTTTGGGACTCTTGCCTTGGCTAGAGTGGATCGGCCAGAAGCTTGGTCTGACTAGATATTCTGTAGATGGGGTTTGGACTCCCCCAGTCCTCCATAGCCTCCTCCAAACACGGTGTTTACAATTTCAGTTCTGATACTTTCCTCTTCGAATTTTGTCATTGTCAGCTGTGGATCACACCAGCTGGTGTGCTTCTTTCTTATGGATTTAATTGACTCCTTGCGTAGATGGCTGCTTGTTTGAACACAAGCCTTTAAGACCCCAGGCACCTTTCGATTGGTAGCCAGCACCATCTGGTTTCTTCACCCACTTTACTCTAGCACCCTTATCTTCACTGATCA